TGCCACATTGATTGGTATATTAGTACAAAGACTTGTTACATCGAAACTATCCACTTTTTCATCCTTTTTGAGTGTTTGTAATTAAGTCTCAATTTAACGAGTAAGAATTGACTGGACTAGAATTCGAACAGTTCTTAAAACTATCAGTGCCAGGTACTTTGATAGTTGATATGCTGGAGTATTCCTGAAGTCAATTATCGGTCTATTGGGATAACCTGGTTTATAAAGTTTTAAGAGTATTGTCCTTGGGTGAGCTTGACAAACACAGAGGCCACTCACTAATTATTCTCACTTGTAATATACTCATAAATGCGGGACCAAGCAAGAACATAATAGCGTAGTCAGATGGAAATAGTATATTTGTGAAGTCGTGCCAAAATACCGATGCGTTCCGACTAACCTGATAGAGGACCGATTACGAGCGGTGCAACGTGACACGACGTGCTAAGTGGCGTGGACGCTTGACCGTGTGCCTACAGCTTAGCGAGTCCGATAAAACTAGGAAGACCAGCATCAATGTTGAATCTTGTCGAACCCTAGGCTATTAATTTTGGGGAATTATGTAACTCTACAAACTTATATAGTGACGTAAATTCTGCCAGGATCAATAGTCTTCAGCATTAAGTTAAACTATTTAGACTCACCTAGAGCTGGCTTAAGTCGACGTATCAAATTGGCTGTAGATTTCCTAATTATATTAATGACAGTGTCTGTAAGTTTCTTCATCTCTTCATGTGGCCCTGTTTGGATATGTTCGTACTTTTTGTAGAAATAATCCGATTCGTCCAAAACTACTACTGAATTACCTTTACAGATTTAGAAATTACTATGTTACTGTCATTTGGTAGATTATTCAAAGCTGCATTTTCAAGTTTTGTTGTATCTTCTTTTTTCAGTGCTAATGCATGCTATACTCTAACGGGTTCCGCGGTTGCCACATCCACCGAGCTTAATGCCACTTCTGTACCAGGGATGACATCTTCGGGTCTTAGACGACCTACTATTAAGTTGAAGTCTAGTCCTTTTCCAAGTACTTCATTTCATCTGAGCCTAAGGGTGTTTAGTGGAGACTAACCACCCACTTTTTTCTTCCTATGTTTGATGACGTTTCATTTGTAATCTGGTTATTTTCCGAGGGATGCTTTTCTTTCATTAATTTGTTAAACTTTACGATTTGATTTCCTGGACTTCTTGAGAGCAGCTGACCTTGCTTTTTCTTATGTTTCTATTAGAAATTATTGTCTCTGCTGTTTAATATCCTCATAAGTTTACATTTTAGATGTTCAGTTTTATTTCGGATAGTTGACTTGAGGAATCGATAGATCCAATTAAGCAAAATAATCTAATCTACGTAATTCTATCCAATGACTGTGAGGTCAGGTATGTAGGTCAAACTAGCCGGTCGGGGTCAGTTAGATTAGTGGAACATAGGAATTTAACTAAATGTAGGATGATAGACCTCAATAAGAGAAATAATCTAGAAAAATAACTCGGCTATTGCAATGCATTGTTATCGCATTAACATGCGACCACACAATAGGGTGGAACGAAATCAACATACTTAATCCCAATATAATCAGGTGGAGAGGGAGATTGATCGCTGAATCTTTGTTCATCAAATCAACACCCAACACCTGTAATAGGAGTGACGCAACACATATACCAGATATATGAAAAATTTACTGCCAACAAAAACAAAGAATATGAGGTGACAGGATTATGAAAGTCAGATGTCGAAAGTGGTGTGATTACATTGCTATGATTATGAGCGTCAATAATTTATGGTAGAAACGTCATCATCAGATAAATAGTACAGTATCATTGTGCTGGCCTATATCAATTAAACGGATTTTATTCGGTTATCGTTTGACCGTCTACTTTTTATTACTACAAAGAAGCGTAACATTTATTTTGTGCACATTCTTTACGAAGGACGTACGTTATCTCACTCCGTAGGATGTTTTTGGTGACAGCTTTTTAAAATGTCTGGTTAGGCACTGCTGTTACTTGAGCTGTCTTTGTACTTTAAGGGAATAGTGAGACACCTGTTCAATGACCTTACATGAATCCCAATAGAGACTGGTAAATTTTGGTCTTATATAGTAATAAAAAGCTGGAAGTCACAAACGTCAATGAGTATAGTTCATAATTAAAAAAGTAAGTTGACATTCAAGATGCCTATGTCGTAAAGAGGTTGAGAAGTTTTATGTTAAGTGAGTAGTGTTCAGATTGACTTACTATGCTAACCTAGAAAACAGCTCAGTTCCCGCATTCATTTCTTCAGCCTCAATTATATGCCATCATCATTTTCATATAAATATAAAACATTCAACACTACAACTTTTCATAGCGTCGCTGCCTCGCTTTTTATGATCTTATCTTCTAACGTTTTTCTAACAGCGCCAAAACAGAAATCATAATACTGTTTGATCGATTACTTTTCTGTCTTGGATATTTGGGGGACAATAAATGATTGAGTAGGTGTTAGGTGGAGATAATTTTGTGTTTTGGATATTCATAGTGTTCTGTAGTCTACTTTGTATCAAATTGGCCCTAAGAATTGTATCGATTATTTTGATTGACTTGTGAAATTGCGCGGCAGTTAAATTCTGTTAGTCGTCAAAAAACGTATCCAATCTAACGGAGTATGTTAAAAGTCAGAATAAAAAGTCAAGTGCAATAAGTAAATTAAAGGTCGAGTTATGATAAAAGTAATAGAAACTATATATATATATATATATATATATATATATATATATATATATATATATATATATATATATGGGTTAAACTACCAAAAGAAATTCAATTCAAGAATAGACTTTTCGGATGTGTCAAAATAACCTAATCTTCTCAATAGTTAAAACTTCAGCAAGTTAAGTATATGGTTCTGACAGGTGTAAAAATTTTCAAATCTGTGTTCTCATTGGGTTTTTCTTTGTGCATTTATAAGTCGTTCTCGCTGTTGTACACTTAGAAACCACTTATTTATTCGATCATGAGTTATACTTCCCATTCTCGTGGTTGGATCTTATATTTCTGTTAGTTAAAGAAAAACTTCTGTTTGCTGATTTATTTTTTAGTAAGGTGAGGTCGACTGAGGTGACTAAGACATGTGTTACGCATGCCTTGTCACCGTCTACCTCGCTACACAATGTTAGCTGAAGTAGGCTCCAGACTGAAACGTGGCACTGGTTCGTGAAGTTTGACTGTTCGTCTGTGCCGTGTTGGGAAATGCAGACTTCTTAGTTGGAGTCTGCTTGATAACACAAACCGGTGGTTGGAGACTAGGTGATATGACTGACAATCGATGTCAGTGGTGCAAATATATCCATAAACTGTCATAATCGTCATATTGAATCTAGCATTTTCTGATTCCCTCTTCGTCTCTTTTACTACTTTTGACCAATCTCTCTTTACTCCTTCATCTTTCGTCTTATTACTTTCTCATTTGATGTGTTTATATGACGTGTAACTGCTTGGACCGTTATGCAGTAATGCCTGGTCCTATGTTGATGTCCGTAATAATTGTTTATTGTAGTTCATTGTATTTATAATTGTCAGTCAATAATTTTGTTTTCTTTTTTTCCTCTTTTTTTCGTAGGACTTGCTGCCCTTACTACAGCAGGCATTGGCCTTATGTGGAATTCTATCTTCTCTAAAATGTACTTCCCATTAGACTTAGGTATTCGTTGGTTTCCTAACGTTCGAGCAGACGGTGCGCTGATTACAATCACACCTAGTCTTATTCGATTTAGTACAACTACACTAAGCGCTATCAGTGCTTCTGCTGCAGGACTGTATGCTTTATTTTGGCAATGGGATCCATGTTGTAAATATCAGGTCGCATCATCAATTGCATCTCTTCCTGTTGGAGCAACTTCATTTGTAACCACTAGTAATCACGTTTTGATGAACTCACACCCGGGTGATAATTCACCAACAAATGGAATAAGCAATGGTGATAGCCCTAATGGTTCCTCGGAAATAAGTCAAAGTAGTAACGGAAAGCGTACCCGTGCAGTCATAGCAGAAAATCATTCAAATTCAAGTGGTCCTCCTCTACGCCCTGTAGTTTTAGTACACCGGGATGATGGAGCAAGAAAAGTTCTACATAATGCTGTCTCTCTTACTTCTACGTTAGTTGCTTGCTATATCCTTTTCAGGTGGTCTCGGAGTCCAGATATTGTTAGTGATTCATAATTTTCTTGCATAATTGTCTGTGTATTTGTGCACATGTATAACAATGGGTCAAATTATCGTCGTATTCATTCATGAATATGTAGAGAACATTTTCTATTGTTTAGATTATTTTCTTTAGTTTCTTTTGTACTAAAAGTACTATAGCGTACCCTGCAGTCTCATAATTTCGTTGGTAGTTATAGGTTAATATGAAAAATTTTTGCAAGCATTTTTAAAATCCATTCGCATATGCATATATATATATATATCGTATTGGCCTATGGGTACTGTATCCATGCCGTCATTTTCATGTTACTTTGGTTATTTTTACCATGTCTTTAAATTGTTTTTACTATTAGTAGTATCGATTTCAGATAACGCCTATAGCAAAATGAATATTATGAGCCTCTTCGTGAAATTTCTCATATCACGCATACTCTCATTGTACATTTACTGTAAACCTCTCTTCAAATTATATTTAACTCATTTAAAAAAGAAAGACGAAAGAACAGTGAACATTTGATTTATGAGCCACCTAGTAGGTTTAGCCAACAATCGTTGTATTCTCCGAAACTAGCGCCGTCTCTGGATCATTGGACATGACTGGGATTAAGAATCACTTATGAAATACGATTATCGCTGAAACCTTTGGTAAAGTCTTCAGCGCCCTCTAATTCACAACCAGTATCCGAAAACATCATGCTTTGGTGACACATTCTGGTCTGGCCACCCTGAACACCTTTCTGAACTAATTCAACACCTAGTATAACTGCTTGTACATTGCAGGTACATCCAGCTGACGAGTCCCAAATAAGACGAAATGCGCATTTTGGGTTCCACTGCTAGCCACTATCCGTCATTAATATAATCCAACATCTCCAAGTTATGCATTTCGAGGTAGGCGGTGGCTCGGAATGCGCGGCACATGTCCAAGCCACCTAAACAGACAAAGGTTCACAACCTAATCCACTGACTTACATTTCTTGCCTAGTACCATTTGCCTGACCACAATAATGCTCAAACTTTGATCCAACCCAGCGCGATCAATAATGCAAAGACAAAGCTAGATAAACGCTTATTGTATAGTTGTCGAGTTCAGATAAATACGTAGTTGAAGAAGAGATAATTCAGCGAAGACAATTTTCTCTTTCGACAATATCATATATATATCACAAGCATGTAACAGTCTATTATTAAACAATAGAGTATAGTTGTATTATTAAGCTAGTGCTAAAAACCCGAAATTAAGAATGTAAAGTAGTTGTGTGATAGTCTTTTAGATAGTGGAATTAACGAGGGAGGCAAGGAGTTTGACAAGGTGAAAATTGTTGGTAGATGCATAGTTAACTCCTCTTTAAATTCATTCTTGGCATCCCCATCTTCCAGTCAGCTATTAATAGATTTCACTATCACATACATAACCAAACACTAACGAGTGATCAGAGTCCGAAAACCTACTCCAGAAAATAAGGCAATCTTCCACCTGTCCTTTATAACGATGCCTAGATCATAGCAATGTGATCCATGTGTGCCCATCATTGATTTGATCTCGGTGGACGCCATGTGAGAAAGAATCTGTTCCTATGCCTAATGTTATTGCTGTCCAGAATCAAATGATTGTCGGAGCGAAATCGCAAATATGATCAACGTTGTTGGTTACTTGTAATGGGATACCTTAGATACCCTCATGATACTTTTCCGATTGGCTGAGCTTTCGTACTTGCGTGTTGAAATCATCTGCTATCATGAATACATCTGAACGTTTTGGTTTCTGTACTCAAATTGACAGATTTTGGTAGAGTTAATCCTTCTCATCATCCGAAATGGAGTCTGTGGGCGCCTTGGTGATATAGAATTTGTATCAGCTAGTCTCAAAATCCTTCTCAGTTCTTACAGATCCATCCAGTCAAAAAGCGCACATAGACGTCTGTTGACTGGTATCCAGTTGAGAAGCACACTTCCTATCTTACAGCTCAATGCTACGCCTTCACCAGCAAGTCCACGAGAGCTAGCTTATGGGCCTCCAGATTCTCATAATGTGAATTTTGAAGATTCACTACAATGGTCACGTGAAGCTAATTTAATAAACACGCTCGGATCCTCACAGCCCCCTGCAGGCTTTTGTTTTGAGGTTTCGTTGTTCTAACACCGGACAGATAAAACCCATACCGCCACCACCTGAAGACCGTGGGACAGTGAGGAGTGTGCTACTTCGGGTGGTGACACTTTCTAACTCCGCCTTCATATTGGGAAGACAGCATCAGTGTGGCACTGTTGGTCATTCAAGGGAAATGCCTTACTGCCGTCATAGCCGATCCCGCTAGCAGCAGTACGACTTCGCCCTCAGAATCCCCATCGTAGTGTAGTAATTTACACTACAACGGTAACTGCTTTTTATCTTACTGCTCTACCATCCAACAGACCCTTCTCGTATGGTAGGACCTAGAGCAAACAAGCATTCCAGCTAGTTGCTTCATTGTGATATGCAAGGTCGACCACCATGTCAAGGTAGCAACTACCAGCCGGGCTTGATGTGTCTGTGTCAGATTGTAAGAGAGAACAGAGGGTAAATCTTTCTCATCCTAATTTACAAGGCTGAGCTAAAATATCCATAAAAAGCGTCCATTTTATGATAATTTCTTCGCTCTCAAGATATGAGGTTTAGTTCTTAACTGAGGGTTTTATTTAAATTCATATTGGAAATTCTTATGAAATGCCAAGTTGATAGAACAAGAAAGCTACAGGAATATTCATAATCACAGCTGGAAATATATACAAATATATTTGAAAGTCTTCATTGGTAAGTGATGAAGATAACTCACCCGCTAATCCAGATGTGAATCAAGACATTTTAACGTGCAGCTGATTTTCTCAATTAAATTCATTTCACGCCACTATTCAACATTAAACCATAGCTTGAAGTACAATAATCCAGTCTGCTGACATTTCTGAGGTGTACAGAAGTTAATTGCTGTTGTACGTTTCTTTTGCAGAAAAAAGCGTGGTAGTGCAAGGAATGACCCCAAAGAAACTACAACCACAGTCAGTTGATGCAATTATAAGGTCTTCTTGAAAACAATCTGACAGCATAATAGTTAATTGGAACCTAGTTAATAATGATTAGAAACAATATATTTTTTCAGTTAAATTTACAAGTTCTAGAAGTAAACGTTTTCGCGTTCTGTTTAATTAAACTAAGCAGCACCTCACTAAGCAGCTCGCCTCGTAAACTAGTTCACCAGTTACTAGCCGGTCCTAAGCCCGTAAAACCAATCCAATCACTAAAGAAAGCACAAAGAAAATATGAAAAATAAAAATAAACTTATTCCTCGCTGAAATCGGAGAGACGAAATGATGCCGGTTGGTGAAAGCCTTCGGGAAGCTAATTGGCTGGTGAGTCTTCGCCTCTCTCGATGAAAGCGAAAGCACACATGGGGACATGGAATGTCCACACCACGTTTAAAGCTGGCTGGCAAGGCTGTCCAGATTGCAAAAGAAATGAAAAGATATGACATAGAAGTGCTAGGAATCTACAAGAGCAGATGGAATGGAAGTGGACTCTCCAAACTGTCAACTGGAGAGTCAATAATCTACTCCCATATTGTCACCCAGACGACAAGCACGAGCACACTGAGTTATGGACTGGCTATCATGATGTCTCCAAGAACGTCGACGGCTCTCATGCAGTGGGAGCCAATCTCCTCCTGTAGGATCATGACAGCAAGATTCAACTCAAAAGGAAGGAAAGTCACAATCATAAAGATAATGCAGATGTAGAGAAGAAGGAGGAATTATGCAGACAACTGCACTCAGTAGTGGAAAAGACCCCACCCCAGTTGGCGATATCAAAATCCTAATGGGCGACATGAATGCCGAACTGGGACTAGACAACACAGGAAGAAAACTCATCATCGGTCGAGAGGCACTTGGTGAAATGAATGAGGACGGAGAACTGTTTGCAGATTTCTGTGCGTTTAATGATTTGGTGATTGGAGGCAGTGTGTACAAACACAAGGATATTCGTCACAAAGCGACATGGATTTCAACAGAAAGACTTCATCTCAATCTCAAGAAAGTGGAGACGCGGCCTATTCGAGACAATATCAAGAAGGGGAGCAGATGTAGGTTCAGACCACCCACCATCTAGTGCGAGGAACCTTCGAAACTAGGTTGAAAGCCTTCAAAGAAGCTGGTGATAGACCACAGTTCAAGTTGAACACTCAGACGAGAAAATGAAGGACGAAACTACAGAGGACATCTTCACGTCAGCCATCAAGACAAAATGGGAGACATTGAACAACATCCATGAAGAAACATGCGTGGAAGAACACTGGAACTCTTTGAAAGAGATGTGGGCAGAAATCCTCATAACCGTGGTAGGAAGGAAGAAGAAACGAGACAAGGAATGGATCTCGACGGACACATGGAAGCTGATAGAGGAGGGAGGGGAAGATGGTGAAGCAGATAAACCAGTGCAAGGATGAACAACGAAAAGAAGAAATGAGTACAACGTATAAAACACTGGACAAAGAAGTGAAGAAGAGTGCGCTCAAAGACAAAAGACACTTCTGCGACACACTGGCAAGTGAAACAGAACGGGCTGGCGGCAGGAGAGACCTGACAACACGATATCAAATAACCAGGTTACTATCTGGGAAGAGATCAACATAGAACTATCAGTGAACATAAACCCTCTGACAAAAGCCGAAGTGTTGAATACCATAAAGTTGCTGAAATCCAGGAAAGCAGCAGGACCAGGTGGAATTCTGCCAGAAGCACTGAAAACAGACACAAAGATAACAGCGGACACGCCCACACCACTATTGCAGACGGTTTGCAAGAAAGGAAGGAAGGAAGGGTACCTGTCGAGTGGGAGAAGGGCTACCTTGTCACACTCCCAAACAAGGGCGACCTAAGTCTTTGCAAGAACTGGCGGGGAATCATGCCCCTGTCCACCCCAAGCAAAATATTAGGCCGCATCATACTGGAGAGACTAAAAGATTCTCTGGATTCGAAATTAC